GGTGGTGGGGGCTCCTGGGGTCAGAGACCCCATTGTGGGTGGAAGCAGGGACCCCATAGGGTGATGGCATTGTCCCCGTAGGGTGTTGTGGACAAGGACCCCATAGGGCAAGGAGAGTCCCCAGAAGGGGATGGGGACCCCATAGGGTGCCAGCACTGTCCCCTGGAGGGTTTCAGGGGGTCCCTGGGGTGCTGGGGAAGCACAGGGTGGTGGGAGATCCCAGGGACAGGGACTCCATAGTGGGGGGGGGGTCCATGGGGTACTGGAGGAGCAGGGACCCCATAGGGTGGTGACACTGTCCTGTGCAAGGTTTTGGGGCAGGATGGGGGATCCATGGGGTACTGGAGGAACAGGGACCCCACAGGGGACAGCAGCCCTGATGCTGTCCCATAGGGTTTCAGGGTGGCCCTGGGGGGCAGAGACCCCCTCACAGCGTGAAGGGGGTCCACAGGCTGCTGGGGACAGGGACCCCCCCACCCCAGGAGGTCCTAGGGGGGCCAGAACCCCTCTGCTGTGGGGTGACAGCAGGGTCCCCAAACTGGGGGAGGGAGGGAAGGAAAATTGTCCAAATCAGATTAAAAAATAACCCTAATGTAACCTGCACTTGATCCTTTATTTAAAAGCTGAGGGGAGAGGACAAGCCTGGCATTCCAGGTGTTGCTGGAGGGGTTTCGTGTCTCATTAACCTGCAGAACGATAACCAACCTTTCCACACGCTTCAGAAAAGCTATCACTGTAAATAAACCCACCTTGACAGCTCCCACAATGATTAATGCAAAAGAAAAACAACCAGACCTGTTACATTCTTATTTCTCCTGATCTCTGAAAAGCCCACGTGGTTTGTTGGCTTCCCTCTCACCTCAACCAAGCGGCTTTGCACGACGCAGATTTCCCCAGCGCGGGGGCAACCCTATCCCCACATTCACCCAGAATGGCCAGAAGAGGATTAGTTTCACCTTTTGCAGGAGGAAGCAAGTCCCGCTGCATGGTTAAAGGCCGTGGGGGAGCGCCGAGGTGTGTTTTCTGGGCAGGAGGCCGTTGGCCAGGTCCCAGCGCACCTCCCAGCGCAGGGCCGCTCGCTTCTTTTCAGTGGGCACGACGTAGGCGTTGGGGACCGCCGGGTGCTGCGCTCTGCTGGGGAGCTGGGGTCTGCAGAGCATCTGCTCCCGGATGGCCCAGCGCAGGTCCTGCCGCTGGTCCTCTCCCGGGATCCGAAATTTCTCCCATTCTCGTTTATATTCCAAATATTTGGCCACTCGGTCGGTTTTGCCCCGGTTCTGGCCCAGTGGCTCAAAGCGTGGAGGGATGAAGGATTTGGGTGGTCCTGCCACAGCCACGTCCTGCGAAAAGGAAGAGCTCTGGCTCCCCAAATCCTCGAGGAGCACGAGGCTGTTGCAGCGAGGCCGCGGCTGCGGGGATTCATCGAGGGAGCTGAAGCTGCTGCTCTCCAGCTCGCCCTCGGAGACGGTGTCCTCCGGGCTGGGC